GCTAAAATTTTCAATGATAGACATTTGGTTTTTTTTGAGTCGATGAAAAGACAGAAAACTATTCCACTCAAATGGCGCAGCAAGCTGTTGTTATAGATCCCGGGCAACAAATAACAGTACGTTGGACAATATTGATAAAATCATTTTTAATCCGCCTGAATCGTGCAAAAAAGTGTGCAATCATAAAAACTTGGAGTCATTCAACTATTTTTCCCAGGGAACAGTAATTGATACCAGTTAGGCCGCTATAACGTCTCAACTTAATAAAAAAGTTGCAACAAAGGTTAAGAGGACTAACGAAAATTGAGAAAAAGCTAGAAAAAGTTTCTTCGGCTAGAATTGTCATAATAATTTTTTGTTTTAAGGATTTCTTGAATGATTTGGAGTAAATCAATTAGAGTAAATCGGTTTTTCCCAAATTCACTGTTTTTTTCAACGCTTCCTCGACATGCTCAATGTCAGCCAGTGGGGAAAAGGATAGATAGCAGATACTTTTAGTAGACTTGTTAAGTTTCCGGCGGTAATAATCATATGAACTACTGGAAACAATTTTGTTTTGTAAAATGCACCAAGTTTCGCGAAAAGCTTGGTGCTTTTTCCATGTTCATTTCCCCTTTTCCTTTTTCCACTCTTCTTTGAAACTTCCATTCCCCTTGAAACTCGTCTTTGAAACTCCGATTGAATATTCCATTCCCCTCTCGAAAAATACTTCATACTGTTCGTCACCGGTTTGGAACTTTAAATTTTTTTGTATGGTTTAAAAATCTCAAAATTGTATGAGTTAATTATCAATATCTTCAGTACACCAAGTTCCTCCTAAGTTCCTTTTTCTCATTTCAAAATTTGACAAAAAAATCAATTGCTATATTTTGCCCAGAAACGGCCGCTGCATTTAGAGAGTGATTTCATTTTACTGCTTTTCACCATGAAATATAGCACAAGTTGGGGAAATAGCTTACTGCAGCCAACAGCTAAGCTAAGCTGCCAAAATTGCCTGCACATTTTAATTATATACCCTAAAAGTCAATTCCCCGTTCACTAACCAATTTCAGCAAGGTCGAAAGTTCATTTGTCAGAAAAAAATATAACAAATAATATGATTCATTTAATTAACCAATAACATAGTCATTTCATAGCCTTTAGGATGCAAAACATGTAGTTTTATTTTCCTCTTTGGAGTGTCCCTGTTTGTTCGGAGCCGGTATGTGGTTCTGAAATTATGATCTGGAGGACCGAGAAATTTTGTCTGGAGCGCCTATGTGGTTTTGGGATAAGACTATGGAGCACCTCTGTGTAGGTACCCCCCCTGTTGGAGCGCCGGCGAATTACCTTCATACTCATTCACTTGTTACTTTTTCAAATTCTACTATGGCTTACTTCACAAAAATGAACCAAAAAAAAGATATCATTTTCTACTTCAAACTTTGGTAACTCGGTCCCTGATCAACTGTTTTTTCTGATCTTTTTTGAGTAAATAATCGTTTAAAGAGGTCAAGAAAGCCGAAAATCAGAATAAAATTTGTTCATGAGAAATCTCCAATATCTGCCGGGGATACCTATCCATGTAAGTACATCCCTGGAGCCATTCCTGAAGCTACACCTGGCCAGGGAAAACCAAGTCGAAATCTATCAGGGATTGCCCTGGGTTTTCTGGATCGCTCTAAGATTACAGGGCTGGTTTTCAAGATTTTTTTTCTAGCAACCATTCCTGGACTGTCAGTTTTCCCGGAGTTCTTGGAAAGGTTCCTTGCAGGTGTCCAGGCCTCTCTTTCAAGGATTTTTTATTCATATTAAACCTCCCCGATGCCTCGATTTTTTGTCAGAAAAAAAACAATTGTCAGAAAAAAAACTTCAGCTTTTTGACTTGTTTCCTGGATGGTTCCTACCAGGAAGCCCAGGATAACCCTGGACCCTTAATGTTCCTGGCGCGAATTCCAAGTTTTTTTTCCCGGCTAAATTCCGGTTGACCAGCTGCATCAAACAATTTGCATATAATTTTCCTAGAAAAAGGACTGGGTGTGCTGAGCCCAATTTGTAGTAAAATTGGCCCCCAAGTTATCTCAGAAAAAAGGACCCAATGGCCCCCACTTAGGAGCCGACTGCATAAAAGATTGGGCTCATTTTTTGTCTAAATAGGCTTTTTGTGGAGCAAAAAACAGGCTAGTTTGCAAAAACTTATTCATCACCATTCTGTGGTAAATTGGAGCCCAAATCCGGACCCAATATCTAAAGAATCGGCTTTTTTTTAAAATTACGTTATTACAAAAAATGGTTGCAGTGGGTTTAGATTATAACCAAGAGTGCTGCCTTGTCGCGTACGCGATGATTGAGTTGACGACTGGGACTGTTAGCAAGTTAATGATTGCTACAAACTCACGTTAGGCACCACTTAAAACTTAGTATTCTTTCAGGTACTTAATCATAATGCAAGACCCAGTTTCTTGAATGTTTTCTCTCTAAAAAACTCCCTTTTTGGATTTTTTTCTTAAAGATCAATCATTTGTTTTATATATAACGTTTAAATCAAAATCGGCGATCAAAACGGTAGTTTTTATCATTGATTCGTATTGCTTGAAACCTTTTTGTGTCTTCAGTGCAGGGGCGGATTTAGGGGGACCCTCTTTGAACTATTTTGAGATATTCATTTTTGGCTGAACGATCCAAAAAATTTTGTAAAGGCCCTGCGGAGCCAAAATATACTAATTTTGAGGGTGGGGGGGGGGGGGGGGGGTGGTTGTGACAGCTCAGAAAAATTGGCCAAACCAGGTTTTTTAGTACTTTGGGACAGCTCGGAAAATTAAGTTGATTGACCTAATAAAAAGGTCCACAAATTTATTGAAAACTTTTTGAAACCTCCCCACCCCCCCCCTCGAGAAAATCCTAGATCCGCCTCTGATTCAATTTGAATTGTCTTAAGTCACGACATAAAAGTCTTTTTTTTAAGTCGCACCGCGACTCAAAGTTGTTTCTTAATGTGCGCTGCGGTTGTTCTTTTAAAATAAATGAAATCGCCACAAATGCAAAAATGTGGGGCGACTTAAGAAAATACTGGCGGCACGAGTTAAGAACAGACTGGCGAGCGAGTTTACAAAAAATGTACTGATGGCGCGATTTAAGAACAACGTTTGGCAAGACGGCTGAGGAAAATACTAACAATGCGGCTTAACACGTGGAACGACTACGAAACTCATTCTAAAATGTAATGCGACGCAAATAAAAAAAATGTTTAAAAACTTTTAAACAGTTTTTCTTTGCGCCGCATTTCATTTTAGAATGAGTTTCGTAGTCGTGCCACGTGTTAAGCCGCGTCATTCAGTATTTTCCTCAGCCGTGCTGCCAAACGTTGTTCTTAAATCGCGCCATCAGTACTTTTTTTTAACTCGCTCACCAGTCT